ATGCAGTGTTAAACACAGCATTGTAATGAATATTCGTCACCTTTTATAAGCATAATGCCTACTGCTGCAGTGACAACTCTTCTACAAAAAATTTATTTTACTTTTGAACATTTTTGTCTGCTTAAAATATTTTAAAATACAGGCTAATTTTCTCTATTCTTACCTTCCTGCCTACCTTCCTTCCATACTATGTAATGAGATTTCAGTTTGCCAGCGTGGACCCCAACTCCTCATCTACCTAGTCATTCTTGCACCAGGGATGCATTTATCGCACCAGGGCAAACTATAATCTGATCGTGGAGGTTTCATTTTGTTTTCTGGAAATGGTTTTCAATTGTTTTAAGCTATACCAAACACATCATGAATGTTATTATAATATTTGCCTTCTCTCTTTTCCAGTCCCCTTTAATTTTCTTCCTATTTTTCTTAGATTTCTCTCTTACCTATGTGGCCTGCTAATGGCGTCCATGAAAGTGGCTTAAATTTAGCAGTGTGGCCAGCACATATGAACAAATTGCTGACCCATTATAAGGGTTAGTACCTAAAATCTCAGAGATATCTGCTTGTACATCTATTCTTATTTTTCAATTTAGAGAAATGGCATTTTGATAAAAATAATTCTTATAATAATAATCCTTCCAAAATGCCTAATATTCCGTTTCAGTTCAATAAAATTCCTTTTAAATTGAAAAAATATATATAGTTCTCACTCAAATTTCCTGAGTAGTAAACAGAAAAACAAAGCACCCAGGTACTCAGTATTGATGAGACAAACTTTTATCCTAACTTTTTGTTTTCAAGGGATTAGACTGGCATTACATGACTCGCACTAGAGTGACTCACCTTTTCCCAACTCTTTTGAAATTCAAGAGAAAATTCACTAGATTTTGAAAGTTATTTTGATTTTAGCTTCTAAGTTACTTTTGCAGTAACTAAATACACAGTTTCAAAAACAATCCTTTTATTATTTCTTCAATTTTGAACATTACAAAATAATACAGAGCAGAATGATATAATTTCTCCTCACTAGTGAGATCACTATAATCACCTAACCTCATTTGGTTATAAAAATAATTTTGGATTCCTATTGGCCTTGTTCACTGCCAATCTTTATTGTCTCATGCTTCTAGACAGCGCTTTGCTTCTGCGTGTTTTTCTCCCTGAAGCATTACTTTTTCCCTTCTGTTTAATTGCGGAGTAAGTTCTCCTCCAGAGCTTTCTGTTGAATGAGCACCATCCGGCTGAGAACCCAACACCGCCCACAGCTGTGTCCCACAATGGCTCCATGCTGCTAACG